GCACTCGCTTCCCCCATCGGTTCATCTTCCTCTGCAGGTGGCGGAGTGGCCGTGGAGGGTCCAGCCGTGTCCTCCCGGACTTTGTCACCTCCTTGCCCATCCCGGGCTTTAACTTCACCAACCGAAGTTGGTGTCCCCTCCCGGGGTGTATCGATCTCCTGCCCATCCCGGGCTTGTCCTTCCCCCTGCCCATCCCGGGCTTGTCCCTCCGATTCCTCAGCCTCCATGGAGGAGGCTGGGGAAGGGCTCCGGCGTCTCGTGCTCTCGCGCGCTCCCAGGTGGAAGCGTGGCCGCCACCCTCAGGCGGCTCCGAAACCAAATGTTACGAATAGGGTGTGGGTGTGGGGTTCCTGCCCTCTTTGAGCCGCGGACCCGCCTCGCCGGGCACCTAGGTCCTTACAGGGCACCTAGGCGGGACCACCCCTCCTACTCCCGTATCCTAATATGGATAAAGGTTACATTGGGTGAGGAATAGTACGTGCCTTGGGCAGGGCGTCCCCCACACCAAGGGCCATTAGTAGGACGTCTCCCACATCAGGCTGGTGCGCGTAACAACAGCTTCATTTCATACCTTAACACTACGAGTTCATTTATGCCATAGTCACCACCATCTGTCCATGGACCACAGTTTGAGAGGGCTGCAATATCCAGGCCCATCAACGTTATTCACTAATCGCCACAACGTGCTCAACAGCTTGCTCTACACAATGGCAAGTAGACAGCCATGCTGATTCCACAATTTGCTGTGCACATGATGTTGTGGATCTGGGCGCGTAACTCTCAAGAGACCTACTTTTCAGATGAAGCCCCCAGATAACACCCACGGATGAGACACGCAGTGGCCATCCCCGTGGGAACATGCTGGCGCCCGGGGACTGTGGCGAGACAGCGAAGATCCCCGGGTTACATGTGGCTTTGCATGTACTGATTTGCTGATTAACTTTTAGACATGCATATTCATTGTGCATACCTGTAACATCAATCAGTGGACTCCACACGTCTCCTTGGGCTCGTCACGAATCAACCCACCATCCATGGGTATGCGAACGGATGCCCTTGAAATTCGCTGCTCCGGAAGAGTATTTACGGAATGCAGCACGCAGGGAAGAAAAGATCCCCCTGCACGCAAAAGAAGCAAGCAACCAATTAATGTGACGCCCAACGCTGACAACATGGAAAAGTAAATGCAGCTAGAAATGCAGAATAAAAAGGAAGCGAATAGATAAGAAAATGGCAAAGAAATAGGCAAGAAAATGGCAAAGAAATAGGCAAGAACAAAGGCAAGAACAAAGGCAAGAACAAAGGCAAGAACAAAGGCAAGGAAATGGCGGGAAAGAAGGCAAGAACAAAGGCAAGAACAAAGGCAAGGAAAAGGCGGGAAAGAAGGCAAGAAGAAAGGCATCGAAAAACGGCGAAGAAAAGGCGGATAAGGCAAGAAATCCGTTGGAAAGTGCCCAACCGCCGATGCACAAAAACCCGCCATGGGTGCGGCCAAGGGGCGCAAATAAAGGCGCTGGCGCGGGCCTGAGCGGCCTTCCCAGCCTCGGTTAGGACCCGCGCGGCGCCGCGGGCGCGAGTCGCGAGCGGCGGCCAGCGAGCTACAGGCCGCCCGGAGCGACGCCTCTCAATCGGGGCAGGTGCCCGCGAGACATGCGACGGGGATGGGGGTCATAAGCGACGGCCTGGCCGAGGAGGCCTGCGCGGCGGAGAGGGACGTGGCCGCATCTTCAAGTGAGTGGCTGCCGGCGATGTTCTTTTACTTTACTTCTGCGGAGGTTGTTGTTGCGATCGGATCCTGCCCTTGGGCTTGCGACTTGGGGTGTGTTGGGGTGTTTCACCCGGTGTGGGGATGGGAACGGCCGGGCATGGGGCGGGAACGGGGTGGGGGTCCTCTTGGAGGAGCGGGGGGTGGAAGGGATGTGCCGAGAGTGGTGTGATAAGGAGACGGCCGCCGTCGGTTGGATTTCAGGGACGACTGGGGACGGGCCGGCGTCCTAGGTCGCCGCGACGTCGTTCCTCAGGTAGCTTGTACGGTTGAAGGCGTCGTTGATCAGGACGGCGAATCAGCATGGGTCTCCTGTACAGGCTACGGCGTTGCGTCGCGCCGCGGTGGCCCTCTCGCCGCGGTCATTTGTGCATTTTCAGCTTGTTGCACGAGTGCCAGCCCCTCACATGGCTGGCGTCGTATTGGGGCCTTTTTTGCTGGAGCGCCTGGAGGGGGGGGCGGGGAGGGGGGGCCCTGTGGTCCAGTGGCTGCATGCGTTGCTTTTGAAGCTGCGTGTCTGGTTGCGGGATCTGCGCTGTCTTGGCTGTTGCTTGCCTGAGTTGGTCTGCCGGGGAGGGGATGCTCACTTGGCGGCCGTTGTGCTTCAAGGCTCATCGCCCGATCTGCAGAGCGGCGACACGCAGGCGTCGTCACTGGAGGAGGGGAGGCTGCAGGGTTTGACAGGTTTGTGGATGGCGAGGGCCGCGGGCGGAACGTGCTTGGTTGAGAGGCTTTTGTGACAATTGTGACTGGCTGGATTGCGGCTTGAGTTCCTTGATTGCAGCTGAAGACAACTGATTTTCTGGATTTCTCCCCTTCTAGAGACTGCTGCGATCTCACTGGAGGGGGCAGCCGATTACTGTGTTACAGTTACAGCCATCTCCACTCCAGGTTGTGAGGGCGAGCTGAAGCAGCCCAGCAGGGAAGGGGCGCAGCTCACACTATCCGCCAAAAGCGAAATGCAAACACAATGGCGTAAAAGAGAAAATTAGCATGCTTACATACAGGGAGGCTCACCTGAGAAATTCCCTCCGAAATCGGGATTTATTGAGTTTGTTGATGAGTGGAAATTGAACTTCAAATGTTTGGAAAAGGATTCCCATATCTTTACCAACCCCTTTTGTTTCAATATAGTTTAGTCTCTTTCGATGCCTGCAGTGGTTACTTCCACCAAAACGTGTCAAACCTCTGCCTTTCCGCCCACAAAGCGATGTGGGGCTCTCTTCACTGTGCAGCAAATATTCGGTGCGCAAGTGGGGGAGTCCGTCTGGATAGTTCGTTTGTTTCTGATGCTGGATGAGCCGGACAAGGGGGACCTGTGGGCCACCTTGAGTCTGCAGTGCCGCTAGCACTGATTGATGGTCCCCGCTCTCCCCACTGTGCGTGTAAACAGAAGACCCCAATTTGTTGAGCGACCTCCTGCGGAAGGCAGATGGCGACCATGCAAAGGTACAAAAGTGGCTGCAGGAGTTGGGCGCACAGGGCAAGACAAATGACAAGACAGGCCTCGATGTGACAGACGAAGGCAGGAAGAGCACTGTGGCAACCATAGGCGATGCAGCATCCGCGCTAGGGAATGAAGGTGGGTGGGTGGATGGGTTTGTGGATGGGGCTTTTGGAGAGGGAGCAGGGGGGGGGCACAGCTCTTTGCATCCTCACAAGGTGTATGTTGGTTTAGTTTGTTGGGAAGTGACAAGCACAGCACTTAAACTTGTAAGGCGATGTCCAGCATATGGCTTTGAACAAAATGCACCAATGCGATCACTGCACAAGCCAAAGTCCAAATTGGTACACATAGCAACTACCTCACTTATGTGGTGTTGTACCAGTGAAGACAGCGCCTCTATGTGCATTGGCTCCTTGTGTTGTTCATGGCGTGGCGACTCATACGCAGTGGCGCCTATGCTCGCCTGTCAACTTTTTCTGTGCAATGCCCCAGAAATGATGTCTTCTTCCCTGCCCCCTAGTCCAGTACATTCAAAACAAGTCCACAGGGAAAGACAGGGAAAGGCACGGTACCTTGATATCACAACGGCGGCAGTGATCAAGATGTCGTGTGCCATGTGAGCTGCACACACTATTCAGCATCTTGCCACAGAACGTGTCAGTAGTAGGTCAGCTCAGCTTGCTGATGCCAACGACTCGACCTTAGCGCTCCTCTTCCCCCGCCCTACCCCGTTCTTGTCTGTGAACATTCTTAGTTTAAATGCACAATAAAAATTCGTGCTGCTCCTTGGAAGTGGGCAGTAAACAGTGATGCTCCGAACAGCAAGGGAGTGAAAGACACTGGAAAGGGCAAGAAAGGAATGAAAGATCATTGGCATCCAAATTGAAGACTTGTTCCATTGTTCAACACCATAAAGGCGCAATCTGTGGATGTGTCCCAGCATCCATTCCAGACATCGAGGCAGCAGCGGCCGACCTTGGCGCACCACAGACATTCTTCTGCCCGATTTCATACCACCTGTTCCGGGACCCAGTGCTCCTTCCGACGGGCCAGACGTACGAGCGACGGCCCATCGAGAGGTGGCTAGCTCAAGGCCGGCCAACCTGCCCCACCACGGGGGTGTTGCTGCAGGAGCCTGTTTCTATCATGCCGAACGTCACGCTGAGACAGGCCATCGAAGAGTGGGCAGAGAAAAATGCGCCCTGGATGCTGGTGAGTTCAATTCCTTTGAAACTGAAGCACCATACCCAGGCTGAGGCGATGAATATTGCTGTTCTATGTCAATTGATGCCAAGTCAAGGGAGAGATGTATGTACCTTCCAGATATTCTTTGATGCCCTTGAAGTCGATGAAGTCCAGCATGTGCTTCCGCAATGCCTTGTCCCAAAATGCTGACAAGGACGGAAGCATGTGGGGATAGATCACAAGTAGTGTTGTGGGCGTATGTTTGTTCCAATCCATTTCGTGGCAGTGCAATTTTTCCACTATGAGCAGAGAAGATAGTTCCAGGCAATCTGACAGTCTTCTGAATAGGCTGATCGCCGCTTTTCCTCACACAGCAGGTCAGCATTGAGCCGGGAGCGATGTTGAACATACACGAGTCCGCGCATAAATCTATGCCAACACTACTGTGCATGATTGATGGGAATCAATATGCCAAAGCACAGGCCACCCGCCAGACCCTGAAGTCCCCAGTACCCCCACAGCGTCGAAAAGTGTGAACCATCCGTTTACGTAAATATGAAACTATTGAAGAAGGTATGTAGCAGAAATTCTGCCCCTGTGGCTTGGGTCGTTCAGCAGCCATGTGCCGCACAGAATCCTGCATTTGCTCAACAGTAGCAAACTCTAAGTTCAGAGCCCCTGCATGCACTATGTGAGCCCAGGCTAGGCGCTTGGACTGGCATGGAACGATAGGAATGTGTGATCGAATGACCAAATACATGGAATATGTGTAACTGTTTATGCATCATGATAAGGATGTTTCTTTCCTGTTTCCTTGTCTCAACTTAATCTCAGGTGGGCAGTGATGGCCCTGGTCAGGGCATGATATTCCTGACTGAGCGCATGTTTGGAGATAGAATTGGAGCAAGAGGTGGAGAGAGTTCTTGCATTGTTGCACCTTGTGTCCGACCATGGATCCCAATTACCAGGCCTAAGTCTGATTACTGTTCTTAAATGTTAACAGCAGCCACAGGTTGGCATCCAGCTCCAGAGCAATAGTACAATGCCTCTTTTCCTACTTAAGACTGCTCTGGTCACATTTTGCGGCACGTGCAGTAAGGTACTGCCCTAAAGCTTGTCATGCAGCAGAAGGCAAGATTACTAGCCGCGCCCCATGGTTGTGTGTAGGGGTATTGATGTGCAGTCTATGGTTGCCCTACTATTTGCAAGCACTACAGTGAACGGAAATTATTGTGCTTGATATATGCCACTTATGTAGCAATGCTTGCAGCTGAAAATAGATAGCACTATGAGCATTGCAACATCTGAAAAATGGCAAAGCCAATGCTCACATTTGTCATGTGGACCACATGGCTGTTGGTGGCCAGGAGCTGTCAGGGAGACACCACAAATCGCAGTTAATTGAGCCAACTTAGTGTCACTACATTTCGTTTTAAGTTCAAGTCAATTGAATTTGAAGTCAAGTCATTGTCTCTCAGAGAATGGCATCGTTTAGATGCGTTGATGGCTCAATCATGCGATGTGCTACTTGGCATGTTAGTTCCATGAGCTCACATAACATTTCATGTTGATATTTGGCATCCAAAGAAAACTTGCTGTCGCACCAAGTGGAATGCAAGCGGCATCAGTTTGATTCAGTCGCTCAAGGAATGGCAACATCTTGTGCAGGACCCCAGTGGGAGAGTTGTGCCCATCCCTGACGATGAGAGGCTGCCCATGTGCAATGGGCATGAGGAGATAGACAGGGATTATGCAATAGCCGTTCGGCTGCAAGATCACGAGCGCAGAAGGGCAGCGAGGAGTGTGGCAGCGAGTCGGCGGCTTTCCCAAACAGCGCGGCGGCGCGAGAGGGAGGAGAGGCAGATGGCTGCACACCGCAGGCGCATTTGGTGGTGCATGAGCCTGCTGTGGATGATTACAATGGTCCATGTGACGGTGTTTCTGACCACGTTGGCTGTGAGCAACTGGCAGGTAACCCAGAAATTCCACATCACTGCTGCTGTGTGGAGCAGCATGTCGACCACCTGTTGTGATGAAGCTCGTATCTGTCAATTTCTCTGTTCATGTTCTAGTAGAGACGAAATACCAGGATGCTCACAAAGTCACTCCCAGGAAGCTAAGCCACAACCAGATGCGTTACGGGACAAGTGCACCAATCATATACTTCCTCTGTCCAATATTAATTGTCCTCTATTTAAAAGACAGAATTCGTTACAAGGACTGCCTCAAAGTTCAAAACAAGTTTTAGAAACGGAAAATTTAGGCTGCAAAACCCTTAACTACCAATTTTCAAGAATAGAAAATGAGATACGAGCCCTTTGAGCATTAGGGGAAAGGTAAATTCTGGCCATTTCTGACCCTAAATACTGAGCTTCACTAGGTAAAAGACCACCGATACAAAGAACTGCCAAATCCTCAATACTTAGTGAGTTGACTTGAAATTTTGACAGTATGCTCTAGGCTTACAAGCACAACTTTGGGCGAAATTTCACTGAAAACTGATGTAAGTACAATGGAGAAGTCGTGCCCCATTGCCATAGAGGACAATTATTCTTGGATGGAGGGAGTAGCACTTGCTGCAAATGTTCTCAGTTGGTAATCATCATATCTCCATATTTATTTTACCATATTTTTAACACCACGTTCATGGTGTCCTGCAACACCATGCTTAGCACCATTCCCTTTATAACTACTTGCTTAATTTCCCTGCCCTCACAATAGCAATTTGTGAGCTGCTGTGTCAAGCTCTCTCAACATAAGAATTAGGTGATGCGTTAGTGGTCTGTGTCTCAAAACTGTTGTACAGGTTCTTTGGCATGTAATGCCAGACTGCCAGTTGAGTTCAGAACTGCAAATGTCCGCTGCATTGAGAACTCTGTGGCAGATTTCGTCAATACGCATCTCTGTATACATCCATCAAGACTGGATCGCTTTTGTACTCTAGATACTTATTGCCCCATTGTGCTCTTATCTGAATATCAAAGTCTGGTTCTTTACCTAGACATCAATTTATATATATGCATTTGGACAATGGCAATTTCAATTGCTATTCTTGTCTGGGTATTCCTCTTTTATCCAAAGTGCTACGATCTCAATACAAATGCAGTAACAGCAAATAGATACTGTTCCATGTTGAAATGTCTTTCATACCTGGAATGTGGGTTCGATTACTGTATTCTTCCATTGTCCTCCAGCAGTCTTCAACCATCCCTTGGTTTGGTTTGTTGCACAGTTTCAGAGGCTGGATGTCAATCCACTCATAGGATTTGGTGCTAAAGACCTCTCGAACGTTGGGTAAGGCCCCGTTGCACTTTTCCTTTAGAGTGTGGAACCACTGGAATTGAAGGTTCTCTTGGGTTCGCCTTGTGGGGCTTGTGCATCCCCTTTCAAGTTTGTGTGTGCATTGGGTGACAGAGAATATAGCAGTCATCAGCGCCCTACAGTTGACTGTTATCTATTGAGGTGTGTGTTGCACTGTCACAGCAAACAGCGGGCTTTGTGGATATGCAGTTCTTTGTTTCCAAATGTATTGCTCAATGGCGATATTTGGGGAACAAAGAAGAGAACTGCAGTGATGGAACAGAAAAACTTGGCAGACCTGTGCTCTCTAGCCTGTGGCAGCTCTGTGACCAAGCACTCCAACTATCAAGTTGTGCATCCTTTGCTAGTTGCAATTTTCTTTATGAATCTGTAGGTTGCGTTTGTCAATAGTAACAGCATTCTGCCCTGTTCACCCATAGGGCGATGTCAACCATAACTCAATGTGCACCGTTTTGTGGGAAACTGCGTTTTGTGCAAAGGGAAGCATCGTGTGCACAATTTTACTGAACTTGGCAAGAGGGCAATAGTGATCATGTCCCTCATTTCAGCATCATTTTTTACCTCTATTTTACACATTTGTTACATGTATTCTTAATATAATGTCACCCATTCTTGTCGCTTGAGGTACCACACTGGGCTGCACAGTGGTGGCATGCCACACCTCCTTTGTTATGTGTTGGTTCCCCTTCACTGGGATCATGTTCCCTTGTGGCATGTTTTCTGTCAGAAACCTCAGTCAACTGTGCCACAACAAAGGCATGGCTAGGTTCATGACCTGTTGATGTGCATTGCTTTAAAGCACTGTTGAGGACTGCCAGGGCATTGTTCAGTCACCATAGTTCAGCGCAGAGTTGCTTCATGCAAACTGGATTGTTGCCTTGTCATCTGCTTTGAGTTGCTGCTCATGTGGCTCTTGGTGTCATGCATGCATCGCTGGAGAGCTGGCCTGACCTTAGTGCATTCCTCATTGTACAGCGCTACTAATTACCCTGCTATCGTTGACAACCATGAGTGGTGGCGGATTCCCCTCTCAGTCTTTGTAAATGCTGGTGAGTGTCCAACAGCAAGTAGACCATGGCAAAAATGCATACAACCAAATGCACATGACAGAGTACCGGTCGCCAGGGTCTCTAACAGACTTGCCATCAGTGCATTTTCTCCAAGTATTGTCAAGTTTCAACATTGAGTTTTACAGGGTTTACATGGTCTACAGGGTTTGCAGGGTCTACAAGGAAGCATTATTTGTTGACGCGGTGTTGTTTCGAACGTGACAATGTTGGCTGTGTCTATGCCCTGGAGTTGAAGTGCAGTAGCTGAGCAGAAATTCAAAAAGGGCTCTATGTAGGCAGTTGAGCAATGACAGTTGTTTGCTGCAGCACAGTTGTAAGGCACCATATTCTGGATAGTTGCCTGATTCATGTCTTGAATGAAGTCATTGTCTTGAATGTTTAGTTGCATGTTGGTTGAGTGCTACAGCGACACCTTGTCTGGTCACAATGACTTCCTTGGCAGTTTTGGTTGTCTGACTGCGGCTCTGGCACATGATTGTGGCCGACTGATGAATTGATTGTTGGATCGTTTGAATCTACCTTCTGCATGTTGTGCGTCGATGGTTTCTGTTGTATTGGATAGGTTGTACTAGCGCAGGAGAATGGAAAATAGCCCAGAATGGCACTTGTAGATTCAGTCTATGCGTTCTGATGTGCAGGACTCATTCAGCTGGAAGCAACTCTTGCAGCCGTTTGGACATTTGGCAGGGTTCTCGCAGCAAAGATGTCGATCGCCTCTTTGGGTGAGTGGTAGAGCACGATCACTACCTTCCAATGCACTGCGTTTGGCCCGCAGTTTACTTCATTGTTTGTGAACAGGCCATGAGCGGTTCATGTGACGAGGTTGAGAGTTGAGTTGAGTCGAGTTGATGCGATGCAGTTAATTTGTTTCAACATCCAACAGCTGATTTGTTGATTATATCAACACATTTGGGCTCTGGTGCACATTTTTTCGCATAATGCCCTTGCTTCAGTTCCCTGGAAGTTTGTTGCCGTTGTCCATTATGCTCTTTGTCTTGGCAGCATGTGCACATGCATCTCCGTCGCCTTACATTCTCTCCATTGTTGTCCCCATGAAATGCACGCATGCACACATGCCCGTGTATCGATTGGCATTGTGCACATTGCCATTGCTGCATATGCATGTTTCCTTTCCCGCAGGCACCCATGCCCTGCCATCTCAGCCATAAAGTCAGCACATTGATTCTGCCTTGGAATGTGACCAGTCTCACCATCAATACATGTTTGTGTTTGGGCTGTGTTAGATGTGTGGATGCTTCAACCTGTGTGCAGGCACCCTGTACATCATCAGTGGTACAGCAGGCGTGCTTGTGTCTGCCAACTTTGCGACAGGCCTGGTGACTGCTGGGGCATCGGGCGCCGTTTTTGGGTTGCTTGGTATGGCTCCCCTGCTGTGCATCTTGAATGCAACTTCAAGTCTGGTTCGCTGATTCCTCCAGTGTCACCCCACCATTTATTTCGTTGTCACCATCCAACGGCTGTTGGGTGCAATGTCTGTGCGCAGCCTGAGACTGCTTGTCCCCACAATTGCACCCAGGGTGGTGGTTGCTAGAATATACGCACTGCGATACTTTGTGTACTACAGCACATGTTGTGGCTAGGGGGAAAGTTTGCAGTATTCAGTAAACATTGGCCAGGATTGCGTGTGAAAGTCAACTGCGATTTGTCGGCCTCTTCCCAGGGACTGTCTTCTTCGAGATGATCCTGCACAGGGAGGCATACATCAACAGGGGCATCTCCAGTTTGGTCCTGGTCTGCGTGGGTGTTGTGAATGTCATCATCGGCCTGACGCCCCTTGTGGACAACTGGTGTGCTCTTGGCGGGCTGGTGTGTGGCACTCTTACAGGAGCGGCCATCATATTGGGGCGCAGACATGTAAGGCAGCACGGATTCCTCTGTTTACATTGCCTTTGAGACGGAGTAGGGCCCTTGCATCCTGCGGACGCTGATGGGCATGTGCATTTCCGAAAACGTTTCCCTGTTCTAATTTGTTGAGCATGTCCACTTCTGTCATGCATGCAGTTAGTTGGGGAGGCACAAAGAGGGATTCCACATATGGGCGCCCTGGGCCAATGTTTGATGCAGAAACTGCTGCCATCCAACTGCCGGAAGTTGCAGCATTATCAATGCCCATACAGGATGTTGTCTGCATACCGACTGGCAGTTGTCTTCTCATGGCTTCCGGCTCTGGAATTTGAAACTGCTATTGTTGCCATTATTTGTTGTTGTGGGCATTGTTGGCTCGCTGTTGCCATCCAAGTCCTCTTGAACCAATGGCCCCTGTCAAGGAACGACCAAACAGGCGTTGCTGAATGTGATCAATTGCTTGCGTCCCACATTAGGGTGCAGGTGCAGCCATGGGTGGCGCGGCTGCCCTTGCCCTTCAGATTCTCCTCAGCATCTTAGTCATTGCCATGATGGTGACGGCAACTATCGGGCTACTGGTCAAGTTCGATGGGCACGCTGCCTGCGGGTGGTGCCGATCGCTCACGTGCTTCGACACGATGTGGTGGAACTGCGAATCGGCGGCCGTGGCCCCACACCACTGCGTTCTCAGCTTCGGTGGCAATGACACGGCCGCCATCACATGCCCATCGGTATGGGGCCCTTTTTGCTCTCTTCTGCGTGTCCTGTGGGCTGAAGTGTCACAGTTGAATGCCCAAGACCTTGGGCATCCAGGATCGACGCACTTCCACTGTTGTCGCCCATATCAATGGCGCAAATTGTAGTGGTTTTCATTGTGCCATTTTTCATTGGCAAAGAGCGACATTTTGTAGAGTTTTAGTGCATGACTCGACCTTTTTAGCTTACTGAAAATCGTGTTGTGTGAGGAAAATGTGCAGAATTGTCCATGTAACAGCTGTGATGTATGACTTTACATGTAATGTTGCTGTGTATCCTGCACAAACCGCGTTGATAATGGCCCAAAGCATGTGTTTCATATTGTTAACTGCACCGAAATTCGAAGTCGTGATTGCAAGTACCGGTTGCAGGTTTGCTGCGCATTGTTTACCAGTGTTTGCAACGCTCAGGCGACCCTTGGGTGACACTCAGTGCACAGCCGTGTGGCACTCACACTGTTGCTCGTAATTCAACAGTTTGTTGCCCCACCAAGTGCCTACTAAGCCCTTGTTGGGCTGACTGGAGCCCCGCACGAATAACCCATATGGAAGCAAATAGGGGCACATGATGGAATCTGGTGGCCGACAACGCTAATTTGAGAGTGCTTTGTTGTTTGCTTCTCATAGGACAACTACAGCGAAGATTGTTCTTTCCATTCCTTACCCTCTCTTAAGGATGATCAGTGCGACATGTGCTAATTGATGTCCTTTGCAGCGATACTTCTTCAACACTAGTTTCACGGTTCGGTGTATCAGTTAACGGGATTGTGTTTGCACCCTGCACATCATGCAGTGCTGTGATTTGTGCTTAACGGGGAGTTGTTGACCATGAGAATCGTCACTTGGGCTCAGCTCTGTCTTCAGGCTGACCCAGCTTGCCCATCCCCATTCAACAGCCACATGTTTTCCGTACCCTAGCCCCCCAGCAACAGCTTAGGTATCACCAGGCATAAACGTTGGCTGCGCACCTCCATGTTGGGTTGAAAAGCAGGAGCGCACTAAATTTGCACAATGTGGAAGAACCACAACCAAGTGCATGGTTTTCATTGGCCAATAATTGCCTGTGTGAAGTTGCTGAAATCATGTGTAATGTCCTGTGTATCAATCTTACATCGTCAGTGTATTGATTGCATCCAATAGGCATATGTGTACATATTAGTTATATAAACTACAATGTTATCATTGCACTATTCTTTATTATATGGCTTAAAGCCATGTGTCTGCATTGTGGCTTACATTGAAGCAGGACCAAGGCATCCAACTGAAACCTTCCATTATGAGTTTCGATATCTTCTTCTTTGTTTTTGGTCGTTGCATGCATACTTTCGTCTCTTCTCCGGCTTCCATAAGCTGACTTGCATCACCGTGTCCTTATCCACAGGGCGACACCACCGACGTCGAGAACCTTCGGCCCACTCAGGAGTTTCTGGAGGCCCATTGCGAAGCCATCTGCGCCTTAGCTACCGGCCCGCCCGCGGATGGCTCCTCTGCATTTGTACCAACGATGGAAGTTAATGACGGGTTCACGGCAGTTGACAACAATTCATAACTAAGGCCCATTTGGGGAACCGTGGTGCAAGGCGCAGTACTTAACGGTACCTGTCCGTACCACTTGGTCCCAAAAGGGTGTTGCTGCAGCGCACAGCGCACCGCAGCACGGATGCTCGCCTCAGGGACGAAGGTCGTTCAAGCCCGCGAATGCCGCCAGTTGCTGGACTCACGGCAGGGGTGAGATGTTTCATAGCTAGTCGAAGGGTTTAACTAAGGAGAGGTGGTCGCATGGAGGCAGCTCATTGCGGAGCAGTGCCGCACTTCTGGGACTTGTGCGGCACACTCGCAGCGGCCCTTTCGACTCACAGCAGGAGCATGCGGCTGCTCTTGAGCGACGAGTGGCGTGTGCATGGGGCCAGGGGCTGCTGCAGGGCACGCGTGCGATGCTTGATGTACAACAGCAGAGAGTTACTGCATCCTTCCAGGCTGTGGAATACGCAGGGTACGCACTGTACTTTAAGCAGACGGCCAAGTGCGGGGATTGCCGTCAAGTTGTGTGGGGATGCGAGTGGAGATCCATGAGACTACTCAGTGTTTGGGGTCCAGAAAATGTTTGGGGTTGTGCTGAAATGGCACGCGGACGAGTGTGCTGGGCTGGCGCAGCGTGGTATTTGTACGGCAAGGTGAAGCAGAGCACGCCTGGCAGCATTTGCAGTTCCAGGCTGTGATGTTGGTGCAGAGATGTCGGCAGCAAAATGGCACAGTGGAGCCGATGCCCGCAGAGCGCACGAGTGACTGCTGTGCCGAGCCAGAGTGATTTTGCGAACAGAATCAGGGTTGTCCTTCTTGTGCCTTGTTTGGGTGATGCGGCAGTGTTTTCGGATTGATTCCAAGCCTCCTGGATGGCCTTGACGACGGCCCTGATGTACCAATGACCAGCGCATGCTCCTCTGCTTACTCCTCAGCATAATCCCCGCGCCTGCATCGCCAACACGCAGGCACCTCCGTTGATGCCATTTTGATGCTCTCTCTTCTCGGTGAGGGCCTAGGATAGACTGCATTCAAGGGCAGTGGTGGGCCATCAAGGGCTCCGGCTATGTCAGTGACATGCAAGCGTTATCCTAACCGAGTACCGCCAAGGATTGTGACATTCGGCGGCTCTGAGGGAAGACGCTATGTCAGTTGTGGTATGCTTAGCGTCAATTTGCCGTTGATCTAAGAACCCACCCACCACCTCCTTAGTGTTGATCCTAATGTCGATGCTGGGATGATTCACTCCATTATGGCCCAACCATTGCACGCGACTTGTTTCTGGAACTAATTCCAGAAACAACTCATGCACAATATTGCGCACCGGTTGTGCAACACAGTTGCCGTCATTTGTGCCACTAACAGTGCCATTATTGTGACGCTGGATAACGCGAATGCCGACCTTCACGGCATACGGGGCGCACACAGGCTTTTTCGGTCAGTGGCACATGTTTGTTCTTGCAGGGCCACGAAGAGCTCTGTGGAAATCCTGGCCGGCCCGCTCGATTTTGCGGCGCGAAGTATCGAATCAGGGATAATATGTTTGATCACACCTTTGAAGACACACGGGCGGCCCACCGCATGCCGTTATACAGTGCCGGCATACAGTTACTGGCTGCACCGAATCGGTGACTTTCTGCACTAAATCGGTGACTGCTTGCACCAACTCCCTCCAAAACTTACCTAAACTAAAACCTAAACCCTAAAACCTAAAACTGAACCTGCCCTAACCCTAACCCTATCCCTAAAATTACCCTAAATCTAAGCCTAACCCTGGGACATTGTGTGCACGTGATTTAGTGCAACCAGTCACCGACTTGGTGCAGGCAGTAATATTATTTCCCGCATGCCTGCCCATGCCTGGTCCGACCTGGAGACAGAAATGCAGTGGCAATTCCAATCTCACTGGTTTGTGGCGGGGATAGTATGTGACCATGGCGTACCCCCCCAGCGCGGTCTGCTCCACCTTGATATTTGCCAAAATCCTCTTCGACACTTGCGAGCTTGATGGGTCGCTGCTCCTTTGGCACTTGACGGATGGATGCGGAAGCTGGTAGCGGAAAATCCGCATAAATTTTGTGCACGCAAATCATAGTACTTGGCCAAAGGTTGGAAATTCTCGGAGTTGCTTTGACCAGTTCACAAAGGCCCCATTTGCAACAACTATTGGGTGTGGAATGCGAGAATTTTCAGTGCATCTTATTATCATTATAAACCACTTCATCAGAAGAATACCAGTAAAGCAGCAGCTCTGACCCCATTGTGGAGTTTCATAGGCCTCAAAACGATGAGGAGCCCCCGCAAGATTTGACACACCCCAAATGCACGAAATCAGAATATGCGCCCTTGTTCAACCTTTCAAATTATCAACGATCAATCACCAATGGCGACTGGCTCGCTGTAGCGGGTGTCCTGCATCTGTGGTGGCCACACTATTCAGCGAACTGATTGTTGAATATGCCCTGCTTGTGCCACCTCGCATAGCTTTTCCATTGCTGCCGGCGCCAAAACCGTCTTCCCAATTCAGTCGGTTCGCAATGCGAGACACACTCAGCCAGAGGTTATAAAAGTTCTTCTTGCATACGGCCCTCACCAAAGACGAGGGAATCACTGATGTCCACATGCAATATTATTTCATCTCATTGTTCCAAATACTTGTCACATTCTCGTTGACCCCGGAGATAGAAAGCCATCGAGACTTTGTCCCCTGTAAGCTGGTCTTGTTCAAGTGAATATGCTGTCCTCATAAAACGGTCCCACTTCGCAGGGCGGCCAGCCCAGATCCAATGTGTGATTCCAGTCAGAAGCTTGTCCTTCCTATCCCAATCGCCCCCCAAGCATCGCTCTCAAGATAGAGCGACCTGCGCAAGCATCCACCACTTTTTGTATGAGCAAATCCAACTATGGGGCTTGTAGAATGGAGGCACGTACCATCCCATGGAAATGTAAAGAAATCAATACAGCCTAGAATGGTTAGCTGCTCAACGCAACTTAAGAAAATAGGTAGGTTTCCTTGTATGCCTTTGACATTGGCTCCCTTTGCAATGATTTCGGAGGCTGCGCTGGTACCCTGTCAGTGCAGCGCATCCACTGCGCGAGAGGATCGTGAGGCAACCACAGCAAATATTTTCCTGCATCGATGCGCACACCTGTGGCAAGTGGGAGCAGTATGGTCTCAAGCAATCGAAGGTGTATTCACCAAAATCTCTGGTCCGATACCCTTGCCCGCTCACCTGAATCAGCGCAATGGGCTGCCTGCTCCATTGCGCCAAACGCTCCCTTCAAGATATGCAGTGGTTTGATCATCAACACCCCCATTACACCGCTGCCTTCGCACCACGAGCCATTGCTTCACATCTGCACGGACGTGTGCCTTCTTCTTATTCA